TTACAGCAGGTCCCTCACCTTTTCCATGAATCCAACCAACTGAGGCTTCATTGTTAGAAGCTTTTCTCAATAATGAACAGGAAGTTTCAGTGAACAGGAGGAAATACCAGAAGGCTGCATTGTTCCCCAGAGGTGCTCTCCACTTCCCAAACGAACCAACTACGGAGTAAGTCGTTATGGCAGTCTTTGCGTTGAAACCCAAATTCCTGGTTGGCAGGGGAGGAAAGCCAAGCAGGAGGCAACTTGAGCCGCTCTTCCTGATCGAATCGCCGCAGCGACAGCCAGCGTTTGCCTCCCGCCTGCCTCCTGGGTGCCAGGTCCCGTGCTAAGCCCAAGTGGCCCGCGGGCACCCTCTCTGGGGCACTCCGCGCTCGAGGTCGGGGCTCTGCTGGCAAAGAGGGGCGGGCAGGGAGAAGCAAGACTTACACAAAGGCTGGTCATAAAACTGCTTTCTGTGTTTTCAAGTAAATCTCAGTTTAATGTATTTTCTAACAAAACTAAAGGGAAGAACACCTGGTACCTTTTATCAAAACAAGCTCCCCTTCTGAAAATAAACCAGTGTGTGAGGCCGGAGTTAGTCTGCGGTTATTTCTGAACTGGGAGGCGGCCCTGGACAGCAGAGCTGGGAGGAGAGGTAGAGGCAGAGCTTTGGGAGGCGCTGGGCTGCCCTTGTCCTCTGGCCATGAGGGTGGTCTCCCTGCCCTGCTCACCCCCTCCCCCAACTTCCTGGAGATCCAAGTGACAGCTGTGATCATATGATTTTGCCCCCCATTTTCCATTTGTTATCTACTCTATTTTTAAAAATAAGACCTCGTTTCCATCTTTGCATGCTTTTCATGTGATCTTTAAAATATGTTGATCATTATTTAAAAATACCAGCTTGCTTGAATCTACATATAGGTGTGTGGTTTTTTTTTTTTCTTTTACTACTTTGGTGGGTAAAATCTAGGACCTCACTTGCAGGTTTAGGATTTTAAAGATATCCCTCTCTGTGTCCTCTGGCCCAGAGAGGGGCAATCTCTCCTGGTACCCCCGGAGCCTTCCCCTGCGACAGTTCAAGCATTTGAAACTTCCAATTATTTAGAAACCCCCAAATACATTTAGGGCCTATATAAATGATTCAGGTCCAACAGTCTTTAAGAAACATCCTGTGTCTAATCAGTTTCAGGAATAAACAGGAGTGTTGAGAGACAGGGAGAGGAGGGCCAAGAGAGAGTAGGAAGGAAGAAATGAGAGAGGACACCCCCCCGGGGTGACTGGTCCCCGTGCGCCAGAAGCTCAGGCAGCGGTCAGAGGTCATTGGGAGCCGAGCTGGCTTCCCAGCGCGCAGCTACAGGAAGGAGAGCTAAACAAACACGACTTCCTGGCTTCTCTGTGGCCTCCGATGCTGAGTTGCCTGCCACCTCAGGGGCTTTGCTTCATCAGTCCAGCCGCTCCCTCCCATATAGTCAGCCTCCCGCCCCCCCCCCCCGCCACTGGCTCCTTCCCATCAGCCACTAAACACGCTCAACGCTTTCCACCTTTAAACAAAGGAAAAAGGACCTGTGATCCCATGTCATCTTCTAGATACCACTCCCCTCGCTCCTCTCTCTTCAAAGGCCACCTGCACGGCCTCCCATCGTCACCCCCATGTCTACTGGGCTCTTCAAGTCCACTCCGATCTTGCCTCTGAGCCCACAACGAGTTCACAGCCACCTCCACCTTTCAGTCTCATTTCACTTACCCTTTAGGCGACTTGAAACATAAAGGACCATCCCTTCTTCTAGAAATACTCTTTCCTTCAGTTTCTTAGTAATTTTCCACCTACCTCTCTGGACGCTTGGCCCTGGTCCCTTCTGAGTGCCTTCTTCACGCCCATCCTTAGTCAGTGATATTCCAGGGGACTCTGACATGGAGTCTGACGTGACACCTCGTCTCGCCCGGTTCTACACCTTCTCCCTGGACCATGTCAGTCTTACCATGGTCCCTGCCATGTGAGGACGATACCCAGACCTCTCCCTAGACCTCTGACCTAGGGCCGCTTGATATCTTCACCTAGACATCTCACAAACACCTCACACTGGGCATGTCAAAACTGAGCCAACTGCGCTGTCCCACCCCCACCCACCCGGTTGCCTGTGATCCTGTCTCGACTGGAATATCTTAGACGCTGCAACATCCAGAGTGACTTGGAAATCACAGGGTAATTCTGTGCAGAGGGGTTTTAGAACAACTGCCTCTGTGGCATTACGAATCACTGACAAGTCACCATCCACATGTGACAAAAGAGCAGGTACTACCTTCAGCGAACACTAGGCATCTATGGCAGTCATTATACCAAGTACTGTGGTGTCACAGGGGTGCATGAGACCCATCCACCTGTCGGGAGGGCGTACTGCCACCAGCCACGCCAAGGCCGGAGACTGTGGCCGGGAAACAGAAAGGGGCGGCCGTTTCAGAGAGGACCGCAGACATCGGGACCATAAACGGAGAAGTTTCGCCAATGATCCTCAGCCCCTGGCCTAAGACGCTGCCCCTGACCTGGAGAGAAGTCACAAAATTAAATTTTTACAAACAGACACGTGGCATCTTTTACTTTGAGCAGCAACAGGGCCTCTGCTCACTTGGAAGGGGCTGCGCTGGCCAGAATCAGCCGTCCACCTGGTGCCTTCCTCTCGGGGCTGTGCATAGTGCTCACTGTGCCTGTGCAGGTGGACGGATCACTCCTACAGCGGCTGCAGCAGGGAGGGGTCTCGCCACCGTCCGAGCGCGGCATCCTCGGCCACGGCAGCCCGGGCTGAGCACCTCTGCGGCCGAGCCGCCATGGAACTCCTTCCATTTCAGTTTGGTGATGACTCCAGATAAAAGAACCGGGGAGTTCTTCTCCCCACCTCACCCCCCATCGCCCTTGAGCTCAGGGGCGGACCCCTGGGGAACCAGATTCTTATCTAGGAGAGCCCAGCGGTCAGTACGATGAGACGTCTCCAGCTCCCTCCCCGGAAGGGCTTCGGAGGGGGCCCGGCCTCGCTCCATCCCGGCGCAAAGGCTGGGTAATTGCCAGGCTGACCCCTGCAGCCTCTTGCCCTGCTCACCTTTCGCTATAATGCACAGCACGGCATAATCATGAAATGTGCTTATTAATTTTACTCATTTGACACTGCGCTCTTCTGCCCTGAGCGAGACGTTAGGAGAAAATGATAGGGATAGATTCTGCTCCTGTCAGACCTGCCAAGACTTTCGGGAAACCAGGCTATCAAAGGCCATCTGCCGCCCACTAGCCAAGCATTCGAGATGACCCCAACGGAACAAGCCGAAGTAAAAGACACAGATCCAAAAGCGCACAGCACAAAGACGTGAGGCCCAGGCCTGGTGTGTGCCCCCCGCAAGAGCCCCCCAGGCCAGCAACGCAAGGGCCAGTCCTCGCAGAGACGGGGAGCGCGGTGCGCCCCGCCCCGTGCACAGGCAGTGCCGCTTTGTATCCAATTCGTCAAAAGGCACTTTGGCCTCTCAAATCGGTAACACTTTTATTAGCTTCCCCAAGAGTTTTATGGCACAAAGCCATACCTAATGATTCTATTTTATAGCAAGTTATACATTCAAGCAGTACTTTGAAGTCAGGCAGCAGGTAAGACTCAAATCTTTGTCAAAAAAGATTCCCTCGTTCTTTCACTTTTAAAATGTTTATAAGCTTTCAAACAGTTGGGAAACTGACGTGCAGCATTTTAACAGGCCTCTCCCTCCTCCGGCGGGACCCACGCTGGCTGACCTGATACACCGGGCACTTCTCTCAACCGGGGGCTGGGTTTGCCCACACCACCCCCTCAGCCTGGGGACATTTGGCAACTTCTGGACATATTTTTTTGGTTGTCCAACTTAGGCGGTTGGTGCCATTGGCATCTAGTAGGTAGAGGCCGGGGATGCTGCTAAACACCCTGTGACCACAGGAGAGCCCCATAGCACACGATTATCTGTTTATCGGACCCAAAACGTCAGTAGTGCCAAGGCTGAGAAGCACTGCCCTGGGGCTCCTTCTGGGCCAGGCCTTGCACCGCCGCCCCCCCCCCCACCCCCACCCCCACCCCCCACCACACCCAGGACACCAAACACTAATCCAGTCGCCCTGGCAGGTTCTCGGAGCTGGCTACTAGGGCTCTCATTCTTCTATGCCTGTGTATTCTTGGTGCACGCTTGCAATGAACAAGAATAAAACACGGCCATAAACAAAATGAGGACAGTGGAAACAAGACCACTGCAGAATCTCCAAACATTGTACTAAACCCTCCTCATGTCACTCTGCTTTTTTTTTTAAACTCCACCCAAATCGGAATTTATCTACTGAAACGAGGTAAGCAACTGCGGCCATGAGTCGCCCTGAACACCACAGAGGTTTGCGGAGGAGCGAGGCAGGGGCCCTGCTAAGCTGTGGCAGTGCGGCCGGTCAGAGCACTGGGCTTGGGGGGGTCCGGCGCTGACTCCCCACCCCCAGGGGCGGGGAGGGGCTTCCCAGAGCTTAGGTTCTCCTCATCAGCAAAGTAGAGATAAAGCTATTTGCCCTCCCAGCGTGATCGTGAGAGCTAAATAAGTTCCTGGGTAGGAAACGGCTATGTGAACTGTAAAGAGCTGTGCAGCTGCATAGCAATACATTTATCACATTTATACACATGGGATAATCGGTGACAAACACTAAGGGTCTCTCAGACTCCTGAATCCTTCTCATGAAATGTCACAACTGGAAGTGACTGGAAATCACCTAACCCAACTCCCGAATTTTACAGAAGGTGACAATGAGCATCGCAGGGGTCCAACACCTGGGCCCTGGGCACAGCCCCGACGGGCTCAGGTCTCCCATCTCCCAGTCCAGGACACGCCCCACGCCTGCCCAACCGGGGTCTTTCCTTCCCTGCTTAAGTTCCTAGAGGGAAGAAGCATATCTTACACACAAGGTTCAGAGGGTCTTGAACACAGGAAGTAAATATCTGTGGAATCCGTGAACAAAGGTACAAAGCAGTACCCTGACTTACTACATCATAGCCTGTCGGGGCTCGGTTCCGAGAAGCCACCACCCCCACTCCCGTGATGGGGTCCATTGACGTCTCTGGCAAGGCTTCCGAAAGGTCTTTGACTTCAGGCATGGTGGATTGGTCCTGGTTCCGAAAAGGAAAAAGAAAGCACAAAATTCAAACTGAGCATTTAACGTGAACAATGCAAAGTGTCAAACAGATAGAACCAGACTCTCGGCGAATACCCTGAGCTCAGCTCCATGTGCCTGAACTGGCTAAGGGAGCCCTGACCTCACTTGACTCTCCTCAGATCGAGATTTCAAACCACGGCTGGCCCTCAGGTGTCTCGAGTCAGCTTTGAATGCTGAGCTAACACAGTTCATGAGGGCTTGTCCCTTCTCTGGGTAGGTCATTTTAACTCAAGCCCAAAGCAATCATTCTCAAATCTCCCATCCAGCTGCCCGACTTCTGCACAGATACCTGTCGCTCCTCTGAGGGTAAATTAGACGTGGCTAAGCCTAACCCGCCTTGCGATTCTCTCCCTGATGCTATTTCCTTATGGGGGGTGAGGGGCGACTTCCAAACCCATGGTCTCCATCACAACCAAGGCTGGACTGCTTGGCAGGCAGAGCTCTGCGACAAGCACAGGGAAGAACGCCTTCCGGACACGGAGACGAGGAGACGGTGTTCTGCCCGGGCTCCGAGGCTTTAAGCAAGTAAGGTGTCACATCACCAACAGTTGCAGGGGCGCCGGGAGAACTAAGAGTCATGTGAAGAAGGGGCCTGGAGACCCAACAAAACGCAGATGAGGCTCGGGGGGGGGCTGTCTGGGGCAAACAGATCCGCTGTCACTGACTAGAAAAGTGGTAGGCACCCCGTCCCCTGTTCCACTCCCCCACCCCCAAGCCAAGAGAATTGGCAGGTCCCTTCGTTGTGTTTAATCTCACAGGTCGTGGGCATTTACTCAAAGCTAAACACGAACAATGACCATAATTCTTGCTGGGCACTTTGGGAGAAGGGGCGGGAAACAGAATTATTATTCTGCTGCTCACGGCCTCTTGATGTGACCAGAGGAGACAAGCAGTATATAGAGAGCACTGGGTCTGGGCGGCTCGAGTGGCAGCGCACCAGAAAGCAAATAAAGGTAACACCTTATGTAAATGGCTTTTGGTACTTTTAAAAGGACAAGCCTTGGAAAGGAGCAAGTTAAATTCCACCTCCTTCTGCAGCAATTAAATTCCACAGGCTGTAGGTCTGCCAGATCTCTCAAGGCTGGTTACTGCTTCTAAAGCCAACCAAACACCCTGCCTAACTGGGCAGGCAAGGCGAACAGTCTTAGTTCTCAGCCCAGAATCAGAAAACGCAGAGGCTATTAAAAATGACGGTGCCTCCTAAACAGGAACAGCCAAAACGCTACATGCAAGTCACCCGTGTAATCAGCATTCCCTGGACCCCACCAAAGGCTCCAGAAACAGACTTAATGCAATGGAGCCAAGACTCCAAATCAGGCGCTTCTTAGCCTGACAGCAGCCGCTCTCTCTGCACCTGTTTATGACAAAAGCCAAAGTAAGTGTTGCCTTACTTAATTCTGCTGAAAATAAGCTTCTGGAAGCCCAGGGCAGTGCCCAGGATACCACGTTGCATCACTGCATCATCTCCTATTTCAAATTATTTCATTTACCAAGTAGGTGTATCTGCCTAAAGCACTGGGTTTAGTGCTTCTTGCACACAGTGGGCATAAAGGAAACATTTAACGAATGAACACCCATGAACACCCATGCCCACACCCAATAAAGAAGGTTTAGAATTAAATATCAGCACCCACCCAATCCAAAGCAAACACTGATCAAAAAGTATCTTTACTAGGAAAATCTTCTTGGTAACATAACAATAACAATGCTGCAGTTTGCAAAATATGGGTACCTGCTGTTGGTTACCAAAATGCTTTGCAATTAACAACTCATTAACAGAATGTATGAATTCTGCCCGAGCTGAAATATCATGCTGTGAATTTAATAAAGAACATGCGAGGTAAGTTTTTTTTTTCTTTTATTAAGACAGCACTGCCTCTACTATCTAAGAGAGAGGGAGGGGGAGGTAAGCGTGGAAATAACTAAGAAATATTTTATTTGCTGATAGATTCACGTCCTTGGGTTACAATATCCTCCACGAGGCACTGATGACAATGGCTCTCTTTTGCTCTCAAGCACGCTCTCAAGTGCAGTAGGAGAAATTTGCTCTGAAAGCAAGGATGTTGCTCCCAGAATGCACCAGACAAGCAGCCCAGCAGCAGGTTCCAAGATGGCTGCAGGCTGCTTCCAGCCCAGGCAGACAAAGGACTGGCGGCCTGTACCCTCACACGCTCGCATCGCGGCCCAGCCTGCAGGCTGGGAGGATGCTCTGAGCAGAGCAGTACACAGAGCATCTCGCATGCCTTCTTCTTTCCTTTCCCCCCAGTTGCTGTACCCTGGGGATCAAGGCAGCCTTTGTGAAATACAGACAAATGACTCCTCGCTGCACGGGGCTGAGGCCAGCGCGGCGGTGGAGGAAGCACCACCACCAGCAAAGGAAGCTTTTAATGAGAAACGCCCAAGATATCCATGGCAGAGGCAATCGCTCAAAGCAGCTTGCCCTGAATTACATATTTTCTGACTGCAAATTACTTTTAACAGCGTCTCTACCGTCAGTTCAATTGACCTTCCTAACAAAAGGCCATTTATTAACTAGCACTCCACGTTTCCCGGGCTGTGCGGAGCCTCGAGCCAGGAGGGATGGCACCGCCTCCGAGTGCTCAGCTGCCCAGGGTCACAGGCCAGCCTCTGCAAGGGGGAGAAGAGGCCATTAACGCTGGCCTGCAGAGCAAGTCTGCCGGGGAGGGGAGAAGAGCGGGGCCAGGGTGTTTAAAACCAACATTAACCTGTCTGGCGAGAGGGGATGCTGGTCTAAAACATGAAATTCCAAGGCCTACTTGCAACAACTCCTGGTTTCACCCTCAGCCGCTCCGCACCAGCATCCACCTCTATCTCAAAACTCTGACTCTGCACAAACACACTAACACACCTCTGAGGCATTGGTACAGAGCTTTACAATTCTCAAAAAGCTTTCTCAGGCGCTAGACGGTGTGCCTCCGTTGGTAGGGGCACCATCCTGTAGACCAAAAGGTCGCGCATTCAATTCCTGGTCAGGGCACATACCCAGGGTTGTGGGTTTGTTCCCCGGGCAGCATGCGTAAAAGAAAGCAACCAACTGATGTTTCTTTCTAACACTGATGTTGCTCTCTCTCACTCTCCCCCTTCCTCTGTCTCTAAAAAGCAATGGGAAAAAAATGTCCTCTGGTGAAGATTAAAAAAAAAAATTTTTTTTTAAAGCTTTCTCAGGCTCTGTCTCAATCAACGCTCACACTAACCTGGGTGGTGCCTGGGTTGTATTATCCCTATGTTAGAGGGGGAAAAAAAATACCGAGTCCTGGAGTTCTCAGACACCATGCAGCTGGCAGACAAATAGGACCTCTGGTCCTCCTTCCCCAGTCTGGCCTGCTTCCCACGACACTGTGCAGAGACAGGCCAACATCCCATCCGATATCCGATTGAGAGAGCAGTCTCAACACTAATTATGTTTAAAATGCCAAAGCTTTTCTTTCTCTCGCCATAGCCCAATAAGTTAAGCAAGGGGAAGAAAAGTACAGAAAGATAAAAGTAACATGGGATTAATTTCCCTCACACCTCCGTTTCAAGATTCAACATTTCCCTCATAAATAATTTACAACAATAAAAATGAGCTAAGGCCATGTTTGTGTAGGACGGAGGTAAATTTAGGCCTAATGAGGGAGAGCCGAGCACTGCACGGGAGGGAACAGGTTGATGCATGGCGCGTGTGAGCCCATCGACAGCACACAGGGGCTCCATTACCAACGGCACGTCGTCACCGGGCCAACCAGGAGGGGCGAGCGGTTTGCAAAACTTCTACCACAGTCACCGTCGCTGCGCCTCTATAGTGAAAACCAGAAGTTGACCCGGTATTTTAGATGACAAGATAACAGATGTTGAGATTACTCAGAACCATAGGGTGGGGCCGACTGAAACTAAGTGGGTTCTCAGCAAATGCCAGGTAAGGAATGAAGGTGGTGGCAGCTCCTGGGAGTCTGTCTGCTCTTGGGTGTGGGGAGGGTGCAGTGACCTTGAGCTTGTTCTCCTAATTGAACCTCGGAGGTCGTCTGGTCCCAATTCCCATCTCAATCTCTAGCCCCAGTGCCCGGCAGCTTCTGCTAGATCATTTGCAGGTCTGGGGGCTGCAGAGCCTGGCTATGGTCAGCTGTTTCTGTGTGCGCCCTGGGGGGATTCCTTTACAAGGTGGGAGTTGTGTGCGTGCACATGAGCGCTTGCACATGCGTGTGACTGTGCGTGCAATTTGGGGCAAGGTGTATTTTCCCAGTCAGCAGGATTGTTCCCATGTTACGATGGATGGATGCTATGCGACCACGCCGGGTGGAAGAAAGCCGCTTCCTGCTTCTGCCTGCACTGCTGCAGTGCCTGGGGGCGGCCCCAGCTCCCAGCACTGCGGCACCTGGCCCACGCTGTCATCCCAGGTTCACGGAGACATGAACTTTAACTATAAAGCCCCTTCATATAGAGAGCACACTGCTCCCTTGTAGCTGATCAAAGAATTACTACAACAGTTTGCTTAATCCCTAAAAGTCAGCAGTGCTGGGCTTAACTGATGCTGAGCATTGTTTCAGAATCAAAGGCGTGCCTCCCGGCCCCAGTCTGGGAGAAAACTAAGCTACTGTATCACAGTTGAAAACTCAGGGGAACTTTGATATCATCTCTGTTTAATTTCCCCAGCCCCGTGAGCCTGGGGTTTATCTCATTTTATCAACTCCTATACTGAAATCAAAACCCAACTAACAGAGCTCAGACCTCTCTCCACTGAGGCCCCTTCAGCAGGGGTGAGGTGCAGGCTGATGAGTTTAAAGATGGGGGGGAAGCAACAACTGTAGGGGGTTGGGGGGTGCCGCCTTCAAAGGAGGCACAGCAGGAACCCCAACTCAACGCGGCCCCCCTGCCGGCTAGAAGCCAGCACTGCCCACCAGGGCTGAAGGAATGACTCTCACACAACTTTTAAGCAAAGTAATTTCAAAGTATTGG